ACACACACACACACACAAACACACACACAAAAAAAACCAGTGACAGAGAAAGAGACTGAGATTAGTGGGATTCACTCAGAAGTGTTCACAGTAATAGAGAGTGCCTTTGACCCAGTTTCTTGATCATCTCACTGTATCACGTTTAGATAACTTCCACATTTTTACAGTTGTTTAGAAAAAAAGAAACAGACTATAGAGAGAGGCTTCTGTCTGTTACTATCTTTTCACCATTTGTTAGTAGCAGTGAAATGCCTTGCACACTCTGATTTTCTGTGTATGAGACATAGCAGAGTGGGCCGAGGGAAGAGAGAATCCTGTTTGGAGCGAGGAGGAGGTAGGAGTGCACGGGGAACGGTGAAGCCCTCAGCAGGAAGCAACAGAGCTAAGGCCTTGGAGGTGTTCTCCACCCTCCAGAACTCTGCCACCACGGAGGCTGGAGCTCCAAACCTCAAATCACCATCCTATTCGTTTGTGCTTCTGTGTCAGACCTGTAGTTACTTGACTTTTTGTGGGGCTGGGGAGCCACGCATTCTGGCTGAAAGTAAGGAGGTGATGGAGGGCCTTTGAAACAGGACGTTCAGTGAAATAAGAGGGCTGACTACCTCAACACAAAAGTTTAGTTTGAAATAGCTGCCACCACAAAGGCTGCCACACATGGGGACTGATGTCATAATAAAGAGGTTTATTTAAATCTGCAGGCATCACTATTCTCACCACCCTAATACGTCATTGCCATCATATAAACCCTCCTTTCTAATAAAAAAAAATGACATTTCAGAACCAAATAGCGCTGTAGACGTGAATAGTAAGAACTTAACTGGTTTATGTGCAGAGTAATGAAAGCGAGTTTTTCCAGAAAAGTGAATTTGGAATTGTATCTCCTGTCACACTGTGCTCTTTTATCATCCTCTAGTGCACCCACAAATGAATTATCAGACACGAACCTGGAGGCACGTATCAATGAAAGGTGAGTTATGCACACATGTGTCTTTATTTATCTAATTATAACTGAGCATAGAAGTATTCACACACAGGCACATAAACAAATATATCCATCCATCCATCCATGCGTCCATCCATACACACTTCTCTCAACACACGTCCACTAACAACCCATGCACACAATGGAAACACACAACAAGGAGACAGATGGACGGACACTTGTGGAGTTTATTCTGAGAAGGCTGCATGGCCACAGAGAGTGGTTTTTCACAGGGTTTCGAATTCTTCTCATCATAGCCTTTGTAGGTAACATTGCATCCTTTTCTAATAGAGTCATATAGAAAGGAGCAGGTCACAGGAGAGCTGCTGCTTCCTGTTAGTGTATTTGTCACCCTTAGTTCCTAGTAAGCAGCTTCTTA